CCTTTAGAGATTGAGGATAAAGTTCAGCATTTAGCCATTGCCCCATGGGAAACCCCGAGCTAGCCATTGACTTATCAAGTCTCATCCCACGGGTGCGTTGTAGGCCTGAAAAATTTGGGCCCGATGACCCACACTTAGGTGGGGTCAGTTTAGATTGAGTTAACATTTTTCTCTCTTGATTTAGCCCGTTGACCCACATTTTGCTTCCCACCCAATATATAATGTCTCCAAAGCCGCAAGTAATGTATTAAAGCAGTCATTTCCTTTTTGTGAACACTAAACATTGTTTCATCTCATTACATTTCCAGCTTTTGCAAGTTATCAGACGATCTTCTTGCACTAAGACACCCCCATTAGTTCAATCGGAGGCATTCATTTCTACTTTGAGCAATTTATCAAATTCAGACAATTTTAGTACTGATTCACTCGCTATTACTCTCTTAAGTTTCTCAAACGCCATTTGATAATCAGGAGACCAGAAAAAGTTCTAATCTTTCTTCAATAAGTCTGTTAACACTACGACTTTCTTCGAATAAGATTTTTTCAAGTATTAGAACTGCACACGTGCATTGAACATAAATTATTTCAAGTTACAATATGGAACCCAATAAAATCCGAGAAAAAAAAGTTTTACATGTTGGCCTTAACTTGACTCTGTCTGATTTATTTTTTTCAAAAAAAGTTCAAGGTCCCAATGGCAATTTTCGTTCACTTCTCAAAAGATAAATTAGTCATGTTAACCGGAAGGTAATAACCATTGACATCACATATGATGTTAAAATTTTAAACTTGCTTAACAATGCCGGGCAAAGAGAAACCACACAAATTAATTAAAAATATTTCAAATTTCAACAATGAAACCAAAAGATAACAAAATTTTGACCTTATATTGAAAGATGAACAATTTGACTTTTTATTTGAAGCTATTTCAAAATGATTAGGAAGTTCATGATTAGTGAATTTCTCAACCATATCAAGAAAATCTTGGTATTTTAGCTATGTTATAGCAATTACTAAATTCAATTTCAGTCAAATCTGAAATGCAAACACCTAGGGACATGATGGTGCAGACTGATGATATGAAAATTGCATGTATAGATAGATAGCTGTGATGCAAATTAAGATAGGAACAAGGCCTATAGGAACATAAAAAGAACAATTAATGCATGGACCAATATTATTAGGTATCCGATTCTTGAGTTTCAGCTTTCAAATAATCGCCATATGCATAAGTTCAAGATCATATATTCATATTAGAGGTGTTAGCCAACAGATTAGAGATGTTAATTGAGACGAATTATTCGGGCTTAACTAAGATAAAACTTGGCTTGAGTTTGACTTGTGTCCTAAACGAGTTAAGTATGAATAATTTTTTAGACTCATTTAAAAAAACGAGTCTAAAAAGGATCGACTTAAGTTCGTAACATTCGATTCATTTATATGTAAAATAGGCGAGTTATTCGAGTTCGACTTGAGTTCTAAATGAGGCGAGTTATTCGAGTTTGACTTGAGTTCTAAATGAGGCGAGCTTGAACAATTTTTTTAGACTCATTTAACAAAATAAGCTCACCAGACTCGGATTCAAGCTCACAAAGTTCGGTTTGATTAATGCCCCTACACCAGATTCTTCCATCTTAGTGACGTTTCCAATCTTTTTGGTTTGACCACCCACCATCTATAACTCATTATTAAACATGATGGTACCACGAATATGCCAAAGGTTGAGTTTGGTAACGCAAGTCATGCTCACTTAGCACGGGAGCTCAGCTCAGTTATGTTATATGCAGACCTCGACTTCAGACCTCAAACTCTCTGTGTCTACATCTCAAGGAAGGTTGTGCAGAATTGAATTCCACCTAGTACCCCCTTTGTAGCAACAGTTACTCAGCAGACGCAAGTCTCGCAACTACCCCAACACCCATTGCAATCGTTGCGCAATAAAGACGACCGTTACAAGGGAAAGGCAGACAAGGATTTTGCCTCAGATCAAGCTAGACCCAGGGATAACTATAAATAGGAGGCAAAGCCCTCGACAGAAATAACAAGTCATTGTAGCCTCACTAAAATATTTTATGTAAACTCCCTAGTAATCAATTTATTCGGGAGTAAGAGAATCCTTTGAAAGTGGATTAGTTGAACTCTTGAACTGGTGAACCACTGTAAACATTCTGTGCAATCATCCCCATTTTCCTAGATCCTATTCTCAAGAGACTTGGAACTCATACTAAACTAAATTTAACTATTCAGTGCATTTTATACACTCATCACTGCTCAACCGTGTTAAGAACTTCATCAAAACATATTTTGGAGTCTAAACCATTCCCTAATGATAAATCTGCACCAATGACAAGGTCAAGTGGAAAATCGATGACACATGACAATATTAGAACCGTAATCACTTGCCCACAATTATCCCGAAATTAAACCTGTTTACCCCAAAATACAAATTAGGGGCATCATTGTACTTACTGAACCGTACTCCCTTATGCAGATGAATTTAACTTAATCAATACCAGTTTTCAAGAAAAAAAAATAAAAAATGTGGGTTAAAAAAGATAAATGTAAACATGTTACTAAATAAAATACAACTCACAAAAATCATTCACTGTCACCCAAGGCAACAGTACATCTTCTAGATCATAGAAACGCTGACAATTGGTATAAGATCAATAATGGTCAATTTTAAGAGAAGATTTCTAAACAACCTTGCCAATACGAAGTAAAGCATCAAAACAAATGGGATTCTAGAGACAATGCTAGTAACAAATAACATACAAAACAATCAGTGATGGTAACAGTTAACGTCCTAAATACATTTTTTTTTTCACATAAGCCACTTTTATAAATAGTATAAATATAGATATAGATATAGATAGATTTATTTTCAATTGTGTTGAAATAAGATATAAAATTATATACAAACCATAATTGATGTTTTTTTATGAAAAATGTATAATTGAAACAAAGTATAGTGTTGATAAAGTTTAAGACTTCATGAAAATAAATTGTCAAAACATGATTTGCAATCCTTCATAAGAGCTAATATATATATTTTTTTTGTGAAAATAAGACTTTTTTTCAATATCAATGGGGTAATTTTTGCCGGATTGAGTAATAAATACTAACATAATGGTCATATTACGATAATTTTAATACATTAAAGATGTAATATAAAAAAATAATTTTTCTATTAAAATATGCACCTTGTGCCCTAAAAAATTTAAGATTTTTTATTTGTGCTTTAAAAAATTAATTTCTCATATTGAACGAATTGAGTAACAAAAGTTAATAGAAAGTTGATATTGCAGTAATTTTGATATATTAAAGATGTAATGAAAAAAATTCAATATTTATAAATATAAAATACATTTTTAAAAATCTTTTGGGGGTGCAATGGCTAAAACGTGTTCAAGAACAGAATGAATCGAAGACTATAAAACTGCAGAGCCCCGCGGTGATGGGCTTTTGTCACGAGCCAGGCCCATCCACAACCTAGATCCACGTACATCTCTCTCTTCTCTATGCTCTTTCCTCTCTCCTCCAACACTCCAAATCTCCTTCATCTCTCTCTCTCTCCTCTGTAACGCAACCTCTCCAACGCGCACAAACCCACGCCTATTGCGTATTTGTATCCCTCATCGATCATCTCAGAGTCTTATCGTAGTACATCACACCAAGTCAGTTCTCTTCCTCTCTCGAAATCTTGCTTGAATTTTATGTAGATTATAGGTCAGTCTTTATGGATTAGATTTGACTTTATGCGGCATATATGTGCATAGATCGAAGTTCGCATGTGCGTTTGTGTGTGTATTGTATATATGTGTGTGTGCGTGTGTATTGTATATATGTGTGTGTGTGTGTGGGTTTGTGTGTGTATGTATGTGCGTGTGTGTGTTTGTATGCGTCTGTGTATGTGCGTCTCTCTGTGTGTGTTCCTGTTGCATTTCAATGCAATGCTTGCTTGTCTGACTTATCCTCTTTTCAATTTTTCAAAGAACTGGTCTAGAATTTAGATTGTAATGTTTACTTTTACTTCTTCCAATAAATGCTCAATTGAGTAGTAGATTGTTCAGGATTGAATTGAAATTGAAGTGATTTTTAAATAACAAATTTAATTTGCTTCCAAGCTGAGGATTGTATAGGCCAGACTCTTATGCAATAGTCTCCATAGTTGACTGTAAATGAATGTTTTCATCTAAGATCATTGAACATACTCCTGCAGATAGAGATTCGGTCTCCCCAGTTTCTTGACCAATACTTCTTGATTCGACTGGAACCTGATGGATTTTTACTGTTAATAGAGGCCACCTTGGATGCATGAACTAATTTTTTTTTAGCTTGCTTGGAGTAGTATGTTGAACAATGTGATGTATTGACATGTTTAATGACTTATGTGATTCCATTATCGTTTTTTGGGTGTTATTTGATGAGTTGTTTTTGTAGCGGGGAAATAATATAAAGCTAATAATTGGGACATAATTTTAAGTAGTTGCCAAACTTGTTTTTTGTTTTTGTTTTCATAATTTCTTACACAGAAATGACTACAAAACATCCCCTAAGCTTTTCTCATCGAGTATTATAATTGTATGATTTTCAGTACATATGCCAATTGATCTAATTATTTAAGTTTTGTTGTATAGGTATTCAAATTTTGTTTAGTAATTTGAGATTTGGTTTCTTGAGGTTCAATTTCTGGTGTTTTTAGACATTAATTATTAGNTTAGTAATTTGAGATTTGGTTTCTTGAGGTTCAATTTCTGGTGTTTTTAGACATTAATTATTAGTCGAAATCACAAAAAACCTCGATGGGTCGGAAGAAGCCGACGAACCAAGAGGACGAGAACTCCGCTGCCGCACAGGGCGGTGGTGGGAAGTCCAAAAAGAAAAACATGGTAATTGATGATGATGAATACTCAGTTGCAACTGAGTTGTCGGAGGAACAATCAGTTCAGGATGAGAAAGTGGTGCCAACTAGTAATAGAAAGAAGGGTAAGAAGGAAAATTCAAAAAGTTCACAAATCACAGGTGATGATGACGATGTAGAGGTGAAGGATGGGGAAGACGAGGATGATGTCCCAGCGACTCAATTTGGTGGTAAAAAGAAGAGTAAGTCAAAGAAAAGTGGGAGTAATAGTGTATTTAGTTCTTCAAATTTTGGGTTACTTGGTGAAGAAGATGAGGATAATGATGGAAGTTCGGTTGTGATTCAAGACAGGAATGATGAGGGTGTTCGTAGTGAGGAAGAGAGTGAGAGTGTTGTGGCTTTTAAAGGGAAAAAGAAGCCATCAAAGTCAAAAAAGGGTGATAGTGTGTTTAGAGCGGCAGTGTTTGATGCAGTTGATGATGATGATGGAAGTGGCATGGTGGATAATGAGGACGAGCCTGTTATTTCTTTTACAGGAAAAAAGAAACCATCAAAATCGAGTAAGAAAAGTGGTGGCACTGTGTTTGCAGCGATTAGTTCTGTTGGACTTGATGAAGGGAGTGAGGATAAGGATGAAACTAAAAAGGATGAAGATGAAGACGTTGCTGAGATTACTTTCGCAGGTAAGAAGAAGAAGTCTTCATCGAAGATCAGTAGTAGTTCATTTAGTGTAGCACTGCTTGATAGAGAAAATGACGAAGATGCTTCTATTTCTAAATTGGGTGGTGATAATATTGATGATGATTTTGGTGCTTCGGATGAAGATGTGTCAGCCATTATGTTTTCTGGTAAAAAGAAGCCTTCCAAAAAGAAGAGTACCAGTGTTTTTGCTACACTTGATTCTGGGCTTGTAGATGGATCATCGCATGTGGTTGAACCTGAACAATTTAGTGTGAGCACTAGTACTAAAGAAGCTAATAATTCTAAAAACCAAAAGCAGGTGAGTGAAGACCTGGCAGAAACGTCAAAGAACAAAAAGAAGAAAAAAAAGGGTGGAAGAACTGCTCAAGAAGAGGATGACCTTGACAAGATTCTAGCGGAACTTGGAGAAGTGTCCTCTACATCAAAACCTGCTCCATCTCCAGCTCCTCCTCCTCCCCAAGAAGCGGAGCTTCAGACTCAGCCTGAGCCAGTTGGGTCTGCAGATCCTATAGGTGAAAAGGAAACCGAGGAGGAGGGTGGTGTGGAGACTGCTGCCACAAAGAAGAAGAAAAAGAAGAAAGATAAGGAAAAAGAGAAGAAGGCTGCTGCCGCTGCTGCTGCAGTGGAAGAAAAGCAAGAAANGCCACAAAGAAGAAGAAAAAGAAGAAAGATAAGGAAAAAGAGAAGAAGGCTGCTGCCGCTGCTGCTGCAGTGGAAGAAAAGCAAGAAAGGCCGGAAGAAACAAAGACTAAAGTATCAGATAAGAAAGTCCCCAAGCATGTGAGGGAGATGCAAGAGAGACTTGCCAAGCTTAAGGAAGCAGAAGAAAGGAAGAAGAGGGAAGAAGAGGAGAAGTTAAGGAAGGAAGAAGAGGAGCGTCGTCGGCAGGAAGAACTTGAAAGACTAGCAGAAGAGAAAAAGCGCTTGAAAAAGGAAAGGGAAAAGGAGAAGCTTTTGAAGAAGAAACAGGAAGGGAAGCTTCTAACTGGGAAGCAGAAGGAAGAAGCTCGTAGGTTGGAGGCAATGAGGAACCAAATACTTGCTAATGCAGGAGTGCCTCTTCCTGGTGGAGACAATGGTGGTGCCCCAGCAAAACGACCCATGTATCAAACAAAGAAGTCAAAGCCGCATTCTCAAACAAATGGGGTGGCCATTACAAAAACTTTTGAAAGCACGGAAGCAAAGGAGAACCAGCTGGAAACTGCGTCAGAGGTAGATTCCCTGGAAACCGAGAAGATCGAAGAACTGGAGCCTATGAATGTGGAGAAGGTGGAAGAATCCAAAATGGTTGAAGAGAATGGAATTGAAGAAGACGACGATGACGAAGAATGGGATGCAAAAAGTTGGGATGATGCTGATCTGAAACTGCCTGGTAAAAGTGCTTTTGCTGATGAAGAGGAGGACTCGGAACCTGAACCTGTGGTCAAAAAAGAGAGAAAGGGTGTACGACCAACTACTCGTGATGCGTCGCTGCCACCTGGAGCTGCCAAACTAGCATTTGCTACCCAGAAAAACGCCTCTAATCGACCAGTCAAATCTGAGGATGTTGAAAGTAACAAAATCCTTCTGGAGACTGGGGTTACAGGCAAGAATAAGCGAAAAGAACCTCAAGGGAAAAAGGAACAACCAAAATCAGATGCTTCCTCCAACCATGAAATTAATCTCCGTTCCCCAATTTGCTGTATTATGGGTCACGTAGATACCGGTAAAACCAAGCTACTTGATTGTATAAGGGGCACTAATGTTCAGGAAGGTGAGGCTGGAGGAATTACACAGCAAATTGGTGCAACATATTTTCCTGCTGAGAACATACGGGAGAGAACCAAGGAACTGAAAGCTGATGCGAAGCTTAATGTCCCAGGCCTATTGGTTATTGACACACCAGGGCATGAATCTTTTACTAATTTGCGCTCTCGGGGTTCAGGTCTATGCGACATTGCAATTTTGGTTGTAGACATAATGCATGGTTTGGAACCACAGACCATTGAATCACTCAATCTGCTGAAAATGAGAAATACAGAGTTCATTGTTGCCTTGAATAAGGTAAGTTACCTTGTTAGTATTTCCATTGGAGTACAATTGATTTGAGTTCTATTCTGTAATTTTTAATCTTGGTTCTTTGATTTCACATTAAGNTGAGAAATACAGAGTTCATTGTTGCCTTGAATAAGGTAAGTTACCTTGTTAGTATTACCATTGGAGTACAATTGATTTGAGTTCTATTCTGTAATTTTTAATCTTGGTTCTTTGATTTCACATTACGCAGGTGGACAGACTTTATGGATGGAAAATTTGTCGCAATGCACCAATTGTGAAGGCAATGAAGCAACAGTCGAAAGATGTTCAAATTGAATTTAATATGAGGCTTACTCAGGTCAGTTGTGGTTCCTTGTTTTCTCTCAGTGTTATATTGTCAATTTGGTGAACCTGGTTACATTTTTTGGGGGGATAATTTCAGGTCATCACACAGTTTAAGGAGCAAGGGTTAAACACTGAATTGTACTATAAAAACAAAGAGATGGGGGAGACTTTCAGTATAGTACCTACCAGTGCAATCAGGTATTCATCACAGTCACAAACTCTGGTCTAGCCTTTTTGTGGCCGGTTTCACATTCTTCTGCTGCATAATATGCAAAATGATCTGTCAATGTTGCTCTGATATTTTGCTTTTTGATGCTACAGTGGTGAAGGCATTCCTGACATGTTATTATTACTGGTTCAATGGACTCAAAAGACAATGATAGAGAAACTGACATACATTGATGAAGTACAGGTATGCTCTTATGCACTCTAGTCTGTGAGATATATTGGAGATATAAAATTTCTGAATGGGGGTCGAAATTTTTTTTTTGGGCAGTGCACAGTTTTGGAGGTTAAGGTTATTGAAGGCCATGGGACAACCATTGATGTGGTGTTGGTTAATGGCGTGCTTCATGAAGGAGATCAAATAGTTGTGTGTGGCATGCAGGCGAGAATTTATAACTTTCTTGCTTCCTCAGATCTATTGTTATGATGGTTGTCAAAATCTTACATGACATTTTCTATTATAGGGACCTATTGTTACCTCAATTCGAGCGTTATTGACGCCCCATCCAATGAATGAACTCCGAGTTAAGGTAAGTTTTTTCTATTGAAATTTTTGCTCGTGTTCTCCCATAGAGCGTTTAGACATTATTTCGCTTATTTTTGTGTTTCATTCTTGTGTAGTTCGTTAGGAAAATTTGAAAGTGATAATGGTGTATTCATTTAGATTTAAGCATGAGATTTAAATTTAAGGAAATTTTGTGGACAACTGTATTAATGCACTTTCCAGCAGTTAAATTCCATCTCATTGTGGTTTANAGGAAAATTTGAAAGTGATAATGGTGTATTCATTTAGATTTAAGCATGAGATTTAACTTTAAGGAAATTTTGTGGACAACTGTATTAATGCACTTTCCAGCAGTTAAATTCCATCTCATTGTGGTTCATGTGCGTGTCTTGGGTTTGAATTTTACCTAGCTGGGAAAAATATGAGTCTTCCAAATTATTCAAGGTCTAGAACCAAGCCAAAATGCATCTGATGAGTCAGAAATTCGATTGGGAAGCTTACTCTTATTAGGCATACCATGATTGAGCCTCAAGGGAATATTTTTAATTCTTCCACACAGCCCCGCCTCTAGAAAGTTCCAAAATACCGGAACAAAAAATAAATTCAGACTCATCTTGAGGGCCGCCGTGCAAAAATAGAGGAAGGAGAAAGAGGGGGATGAAGGGAACTTGCTTTGTCCATATCCTAGTTATGGAAGAGTTGCGAATTATTTTGTGGCCTCAGGTCAGAAGATACACCGCCACAGGTCTGAGTTCGGGAATTAGCCTCTCCAAACATGGGGTAAAGCTACCTGCCACTCACTTATCTCAGGTTCCACACTGGGAATGACACCCTTTCTATGAATTGCTTACAAATTGGCCACAAAGAGAGGAAAATTAAAACATAATCGAAATGCTCAGCCTCATATTTTTTTTCGGAGATATAATGACAAGGCTGCAACTGGATTTAGATGGGTTGAATAGAAAGCNTGGCCACAAAGAGAGGAAAATTAAAACATAATCGAAATGCTCAGCCTCATATTTTTTTTCAGAGATATAATGACAAGGCTGCAACTGGATTTAGATGGGTTGAATAGAAAGCAAACTGAATCTGACCTGATATGTTGAACAAGTTTCATTTTAACCAATAAACCCTACCTCACGGTTGCAGAAGTGGGTTATGAGGCTGATCTCAGTGGAGGTAAAGTTAGTTTAGTTGCATTGGAACTTGGACCTTCTCATGCTTTTTTTTCATAAATTTATTCATGTACTCCCATCAAAGGCCTCATTTGTCGAATGCCCTTTGTGTAATGTTCTTATGGGCATGAATGGAAGATTGTGACAAAAGTTCAGAGATAAATACAAAATGAGCTGCTTCCAACTTTCGGCAGAAGAAAAAAGAAATCTTCTTTATGTTCAATAGAATCAATACTAGAAGAAAGTGAACTGCCATAGTTTTTAGCAAGGGAAGAAAAAGATAATAAAAGTAAGCAAGAAGGAAAAAAGTAAGAAGATAGAATGGAAGTAAGCAAAATTATCTCTCAATTTTTTAAGTATATTATTGTTCATTCAATGATTTGATCAGACATAGACATTGTTTCTGTTGCCTGGTTATGCAGCATAAACTCTTACTCATTTGAAAAGGGAAAGAATTGAAGTGCCAATTCGAAGTTCCAAACCCCACCATGGATGATTTTATTGCTCTTTATTCCCATAATTTAAGTGTGTAAGATGCTAGCCAAGAAAGTGCCATTTCAGTGCTGTTCATTCACAAACATAGAACGCAAACTCAGAGGCAGCCTGACCCTAATGGAGAGAATTTTGATGGTGCAGTCCCGCAAAATTTGAAAATCAGTGAAATACTTAGGTGACGGAAATGGTGAAATGTACGGAGCAAGATCGTGCAACTTTTCTTTCAAAAAAAAAGAGAGAAAAAGGAGGAAAGAGCTCAAGGAACTGAAAACTTATAAGGGATTNAGCCAAGAAAGTGCCATTTCAGTGCTGTTCATTCACAAACATAGAACGCAAACTCAGAGGCAGCCTGACCCTAATGGAGAGAATTTTGATGGTGCAGCCCCTCAAAATTTGAAAATCAGTGAAATACTTAGGTGACGGAAATGGTGAAATGTACGGAGCAAGATCACGCAACTTTTCTTTCAAAAAAAAAGAGAGAAAAAGGAGGAAAGAGCTCAAGGAACTGAAAACTTATAAGGGACTGATGTTTTAAGATGGTTATAGAGTGGAAAGGAAAAAGGAGAAATAGAATATAGTTCTTGTAATCTATTAGTTTTTTTTTTTTTTGTTTTTGCAAGAAATATCATATGGGTGATTTTCTGAACCTTCAAAGCCTCTGTGTTCCAATGCTATTCAATTTTTGAAGAAAACACCAAGAATTGCCTGTCAAATTATATCTGAAGACTGTAGTACCCGCAACAAGACCTTTAAGAATTAAAGAAGTTGAGGCACAATTAAGGGATTACCAAATGATTTTTGTTTCACTCATACAGTTGAAATGAAACCAAAAGTTATTACCCATAAATGATGTGCATTTGTTTGTCCATTAATTTTACACTTTTATGAAGTACTGATAATATTGGTGGTTGTATGATTTCAGGGAACGTATCTGCATCATAAAGAAATCAAGGCTGCCCAGGGTATCAAGATTACTGCACAGGTAAGGTTAATTTACAAAGTAATGATAGCATTTTACATAATCTTTTTTCTTTCGAGATATCAAAAGCACATTTTTAAGAAGTCCGATTGTCATAGGTTCACCAGAAATAATAGGGCTGAGCTGATCATTGCATCAACAGATTTTTTAGGGTTACTCTAGACCCCCCCCCCCCCCCC